TCAAATTTGATCAAAAACCAGCCAAATTTGATCAAATTTGATCAAAATTGATCAAATTTGATCAAATTTGCTTTTTCGAAGCTGCCCAGAAATCAATACCGGAATCAATATCAAAATCAATATGATTTTCAATATTTTTGGCAAATCAAAAATATTGATATTTTTTCGGTTTATTGATTAGGATCAATATCCGATGCTCAGGGTTATCCGGCCAGTAAACAGCTTGCACTAGTCACTAGACAACCTCGAAGACCTCCAAACTTGGGAACCCACTGAACCCGGGAGCCTCAGAATGCGGATCGCTGATTCGTCCTTTTTGGCCTCATGAGCCGCATGTACCACAAATCCACCACCAAAACTCCCATCCAAAAACAAGGCTCGCCTTTCACCCCCCCAGAAAACACCCCCCTCACCGTACCCTCCACCGTGCCCAAACCCCCAACGCCGAGTGGCCCTCCGTTCACCTCTTGAAGTTTCACCTTCACCCAGGGCCGCCCCGCATCCTGCTGCGGCACACCACGCAAGACTCGCCCGCGGGTCAACACCTCCGGCCACCAGCGCGGCGCGGCGCGGAGCGTCGTGGGGTTGGGTTCATAACAGACTCATCCAAACCCAGAACTTCAGGCTCTTCCCACAGATGAAAGACGTGATCTTTCGATGACAGTTGGGTCGTTAGATCACCAGCGGAGTATGATGGCGTCTGTCTTCCTATGATGGTGCGTGAGAACAGCCCTTGCCGGGTGTTCTGAAAGCAAGGCTCCATCAAAGCTCTTTGAGACGAAAATAGAAAAGAACGTATATCACAATGCCCAAAATATCAAACACTCACACGACTACCTGCCTAAGGTGTCCAAATAACTCTGAGATTCTTGATTCACATCGCAAAAATCAGGGTGTGAATAGCTCACATCAAAGAAACAAACCAGAGAAATTCAGATAACCTCCATTAACCTTTCGTCTATTCCTCCCTTCCCACAAGGCTGGTAAACGTCAACTGATTCATGCTCCGCCTTATTCTCTACCCAAACACTGTACACATACTTGTTCCCCGGTCAGACCTAAATAAATTGCACTTCCCTTCTTCCATCCGCATCCGCATCCGCATCCGAAGCGGAAACAAAAAACGCTTTCGTCCCAGTGGCGCCCACAACCTCACCGTCCAAGGCCATGCTGGCTCGCAGGGCCACACGTTCGAAAACCACCACAAAGTCGATGGCCTCCTGCGACGGTCCGTGCGACGGACTTCGAAGGTTCGTTGAAAGCCCTTTCCGGAAATGAAGCGAAGTTGACCGGTACATCATGTTAAATATTGTTGGTGTATGTTGGTGTACACAATTTAGAATATACATGAATACCTAGACCCTCCCGAGGCAATAATTTTTGCCGTAGGCTGTTGAGGCAATAATTTTTGCCGCAACTCATTTTTTCTGCCGTAGCTCAATCCCTGGAAAGTGAAAACGCCGTCAGAGAAGTGAAAACGCCGTCACAAAAGAAGAATCGCCGTTTTGTTTGATCTACCAAAGAGGATATTGTTTTGGTCCGTCCATACCCTGAAATTGCCTTCTCCTTTTTCACTTGTAAGTAGAGCTCATCGTTTTCAAGCCTCATGGTAGCACTTCTCAAGATGTTGCAGCCCTTGTCTAAGGTCTCGATGGACATCACGGCAGGATTTGTTCACATTTTGATCATGCAATGGCTGAAAGGATCGCTTGTGACATGTTGTGACAAGTCTTGCTGCCACCTTGAGTGACCCTAGACAGGGTAAGGGAACGACGCCGTAAGTAGGGGGAAAACGCCGTAAGTACGGGGAAAAACGCCGTAAGTACGGGGAAAAACGCCGCAAGTACGGGTAAGAACGCCGTAACTTTAAACGAAAAATCTTCTGCAACGCGGCGCAAGAGGTCGAGTTACCCGCGAAAACCGACGAAAACCCAGCATGTGACACTTCCATCAGCTGCCCTTTCCACTTCACATGACTATGCGAGTTTGCTGATATAATAAAACGCCTTTTACGTTCAGTTGCCTTTCAAGCAAGACCCTACAATGTTTTCATACTCGCCTGCACTAAAACTAAAACGAAATGACTCTTTGAGGCGCATGGATGTGCGGACCAAAATTGCCGTCAACTGACCGAAACTGCCGCAGTTCATCAAGAAACGCCGTTCGCATGAGATCAATATGGAAGAACGCCGCAGAACGGAAAAAGGCGACGTTTCATGAAAACGGCAATTATTATTGCCGTAACGAAGTTCCAGGTATTCATCCTTTTTCGATGTTTGAACGTAAACTGATAAATAGAGCCATCCCGCCCAGGACTGGAGATGAAAAAACATTCTGGAGACGGGGTGGCTGATGTATCATGATTGATCAACAGTCTACATTTCGCGGCGTTTGGTCTTCTGAGCCAGCTTGGCTGTCAATGGCACAGAGGAGGATCAACATGACCAGTTTTGGCTGAGCTAGCTATGGATGTTTGTGGAACCTGGGCTGATCCAGTCTCTTCGAAGGAAAAGGTCTCTTCGGATGATGCCAGCCTTTCCGATGGTTCTTGCCGCCCCCGGGGGTGCTTTCAGCGGCCAAAAAGGATCTTCAGCTCAGCTCCACCAGGTGCTCAGCGGTCCCCGGGGCCCCAGGGTCTGAAACGCTCACCAAACCACCAAGGAACCGGTGACCCCGAGCCTTTCCGTTGGACCGGTCCGGTGGGTGACAGGTGGGCTCCTCGAACGGAAACATCATTGGCACCCCAATGCCATTCTAGCTGGTTCTTCATTGAAAACGAACTCTCTAAGAATATGGGGATGACACCTTAGGTCCAACATAGGATGTACAGCATAAACAGAGATGCCCCAGTTCCCTGCTAAAATTGGCCACGTTCCATCGCTTGGTGGTGGAAGTCTTTCCCAAAAGGTCACCAAAACACATCTCCTCCATCCTGTTCAGAACGAATCCTTCTCCGTCTCCCCGATCGGCGAGAGACAGCCCCCGGCCTGCTCGAAGAGGTCACCTGGGCCAATGGACGCGTCCGACGCCGCCGGGTCCGGCGGCACTTTCACCAAAATAATCAGATTGGTTGAAGCAGATGGTGTCTGCAAAAGCTCTGCAGGCTGTTCAGGCTGCAATAGCCCATTCAAAGATATTCAGAGTACGTACCTCCACGTCGGACCACAACGAACGCACCAAAACGAACCGAACCCTGCGCATCCGATCGGATCGGCTTCGGACCGAAATCAGTACCCCCATGGAACCGGCTTCGACCCATGGAACTGCGGAGGAATCCGTTTGGGGTGGACCTCTGCAACGGAGTACACATCCGAATCCAATCAGTTGTGGCATGTCAAGGCTTCCAGGCATGGCGGGCGGGCGCGCCGCTCCAGGCATGGCGATGTTGTGCCCCGTCGCGGGCTGTTGAGTTGGAGGGTGTTGTCTGATCGGTCGCACCCCAAAACAACACGACGGGCCCTCAAACAAGTAGGGTTTTGATCCCTGTTCACTTTCCAGGAGGGTCTGACCTAGAGATTTTATAGACATAATTTGGCGTGGGTGACCAGCTGGGGAACTTTGTTGTCTACAAAAAACACCAGGCCAGACCAAACAGAGATTTGTATGAATTGAGAAGCTGTGACGTCACAACTGAGGTTCTTTTTGTAGGTATGTCTGCGTTATGAACAAGGAAGGTATCTATAAAATGAGGACCCCTGCTATAGAGGGGTCCGACCCCCGCCATGGAGGGCCCAAGGATTCTTGGAGCAGGACCATCCTGTCCTAGCTGGACTACCCAGCCCACTACCATCCGTTGGACACCCAGACAGGATGGTCCAGGAAGGAAGGAGATGGACTGCCTATTTTTTTGAGCTCCCAGAATAATGCCTGCACGCTGTGCAAGGGTCCTAATTCATGTCTGCCCTTTTTGTCCGGACGTTTATCTTCCCCTGGAAGGTCTATATCAACCCGGTGCGCATCGCAGTCCCCTTCTCCTGTTGAGGGGATGCTCCAAACACCTTGCAGTCCGCCAGACTTCGACTAAGCCGCCGCCTGCATCTCCCATCTCCGTCTCGGTCACCTCCGTGTCGGTCACCTCGAGGGCGTCCATTGCACCCACGTCCCTGGTGTCCAGCTCTTGCCGCAGCGAAGCCAAAGCCTCTCGGCTGAACCTCAACGGGTGTAGAAGCTGATAGAAACTGCAGAAATCCGACTCAAGAGTCTTGTATTTATTGCCCTTGAAAATTGGATTTGGATGCCTTTGGATGGCAATCATATAATCCCAAGTACCTATTTATAAACGTGCCCTAGTTGAAAAAGGTCATGTCGGAGCACCCTAAGTACAGTTTATATTATTTGTTTTATTTTGTTTCTAAATCACCGCCCTTTAAAACCGCTACTAGACTACCAACATGGCCGACTTTAGGAGACTATTTTTTATTGGGTTCCTAAAGCAACCCTAACTGCCCACCTCTGTCCACCCTGTTTGTCCACCACGACACGCCGCGTTTACACCCATCAGAGGCGTTCCTTCCCCAAATGGCACGGACTCACGCAAACGCACTTGCCACCGAGGCCGCGCAAAACGGCATGGCACAGCGACATCACCTTTCGAAAGCTTTAGTGGTTAGTCTACTGGAGAATCATTATCTTAATATATAAAGTTCTTTGTCAAGGGAAAAGGAAAAACCCTTCAATCTGGAGGTTGTCTCGATTTTTTATACGAATTTAATAAAAGGATTCTATATAAAATTGTCCTTGGTATACTGTCAGCAGATGACATGGGTACTTTCCAGAATCACTTTGAGCAAATGACATGGGTCTGGAATATGGTGAATGTCATCAAAAACAGATGACATTGGTTGGTGGGATGGCTCACACTTAATCCACATTAACTTTGCCATTGGTCTTGTACAAGCAAGAAACGCTTCCATGGTAGACACCCTTTTTCTACCAACTTTCCCACTAGCATCTTCCTGACTGCATTGTCATGCGCTAATGCGAAGCTAGGTGCATACCACAAAACAGATGACATGGGACACTCTCAATGTTTCTCTGTCCACATCCCGCTTGACATGGGCAGTTCTCAATGTTTCCAATGTTCACAGTGTGGCATGTTTTGTCCCAGATGACATGGGTTTGATTTTTCCCGGCAGGATAGTTTTTAGAGTCGTCATGTCACTTGCCTAGAGTATAACTTTTTGCTTTTGAAGCTTTTCCCAGATGTCTGCACAAAATCTGCACTCCAAGCTTCACAAAGCGCTGCGCCTGCCGGTAAATCTGCATTTCATATGTAATCAATGATTGTTCAAAAGGATCCTCCGACTGACCCTATTTTGGACAACCCCGATTTCAGGGACCCCCTTTAAAAAAAAACATCCACCCGAGTTTTCTTATTAGGGGGGGCCGTGTTTTTAATAGATGGAGGGGATTAAACATATATCATATATATACCTGGACCCCCAAGGGGTGGTCAATGGACACTCAACAGCTAAGGGGCTATAAATAGAACACCCCGACAGGAGGGTCCTGGTATATACAAGCATCTTCTTGAGGCAGTGGATGTTCGGGGGGGTGGTTGCAGGGTTTGAGGCGTAGACACAGGAGGGTTGGAGGGTTGGGTGATGAGGTGGATCTTTGAATATCTCTGAGATGTGGATCTGAAGCTTTTTTGATTTGAGTTTTTGATCCAACACATCTTTTGACTCTCGTGGCGACTTCTGGAGTTGCCTTCGCACGTCGGTGCCTGACGAGTTGGGGGGGGTTTGCCCCCACTCCAGAAATACGAGTTGGGATGTTGGGAGGGTCGATCCTAATCAGTAAGGAAACCTTGGAAACCTGACCTGCTTGGTGTTCCAATCAGGTCGTCCGGTCCAGTCACAGGACTCGTAGTGTTCCAAAAGCGGTGGAACCGTGGCAGTCGGCCCGGTCCAGGCTTGCCGGAAGAGGGAAAGACAACACCTACAGCGTGTCCTACAGCCGCAACCGTTGGAGTGCAGCGTGGATCTGGGGTGAAGTGATGAAGAGAATCGCAATCAGCAGAATATGAGACTTGGGTGTGTTTCTGAGGAGCAGGGAGCGTTCATGTGAACAAAGAAACTATGAAGGTTAGTGATGAGTGTTGTGATATCCCACTACCAAGGCCCAGTGGATGATGATGGTTATTGAAGGCCTTTCAAAAAATAGGCACGACATTTTGCCGACTGACACTGGTACAATGGGATACACCCTAGGTTAGTACACTTGCTGCGGATGAAGGAAGTGTCCAACCGAGTCGGCTCCTTTGTGAACAGGTTCTGGAAAGCTTTCTTGTTACTAGTAGCGATGGCCTCCACCTAGTAGCTTCTAGTTGAAGCATGAAAAATATCCCACCCTTTGGCATCCCAAAATTGAGAAAATCTCCCTTCGTCCGGACCCGGTGTCTTCTGCCCTTTCGTCCAGTGGCGCTTTGCAACCGACCTGACCAGGAGAAAAACATCCCACAAAACGCCCCCCAGCGGATGAGCTGAGATGGTCGTCCCAAAATCTTTGCGTTTTGAAGCAACCAAGAACCCCACCGGCCCAAACCTTAGATCTGGTCGGTGGTCTCAACTCACAAAAAAATTATACCAGCATAGACCCAGATAGCTAGGCAGAATCCCACGCCCTGTTCACCGGCAGCGGCGCCAGCACCTGACCAGCGCCGCCGCCCGACACCCTTTCGAAAGCGCGCGCAGCCAGCTCATTCTTATTTGCAGCAAGAACCCCATAGCTATCCCTATTGGGGAAAAACAACGTATGATCTTGCGCGTATAAGTTTATGCGCACACAAGTATGCGCGCAAACAGCAAAGCCCGTAAGTGTCACTGGCCCAAGGCCAAGCAGTATCCAGCGTCACTATTGACTTTGTAGCGTGCTTGAAGCAACGATCTGTAGAACGAGAAGGCCGTATGATCTTGCGCGTATAAGTTTATGCGCAAAAACGTATGCGCAAAAAACGGCAAAGCCCTTAGGCTTCACTCGCCCAAGGACAAGCAGTATCCAGCACGACTATTATTGTGTGTGTAGCATGCTGAAACATGCTGAAACAATGGTCGGTTGAGAGCCTGATGTTGCGCATAGAACATCATACATACAAAAGTATGCGCGCAAACAGTACAGCCCTTGACACAGCTGTCGGCCAAAACAGAACTTGAAGAATGTAAATACCCCACCGCGCTGATAAACAAAGAACGCTCAAGCGACAACACCGTATGACGTTGCCTGCATAAGTTCATGCGGCCCATGACTGCTGGCACTTCATTGTCAGAAGCGGCGGTTGGTCGCCCTTCACTGCTACAAGCGGCGGTTTGTCACCCTTCACTGTCAAAGAGGCGGTTGTTATCACTTCACTGTCAGAAGCGGGCACCAGCACCAAGCACCGGCACGCCGGCTCACGGCACCCAGCACCAGCACCCAGCGCCCAGCACCAGCACCCGGCACCTAGCACCGGGTCTCCACCACATCCACAGCCAGCGCCGGCACCCAGTCTCCACCACGCGCACAGCCAGCACCCAGCACCACAGGCACCAGCAACCTGTCTCCACCACGTGCACAGCCAGCTCACAGCACACCAGCACCACCACCGGCACCCGGCAACGTCCACCACGCGCGGGCAGCCAGCTCACAGCACCAGCACCGGCACCCAGCACCAGCACCGGCGCCCGCAGCCATGACCAGCACCGGCACCCGGCACCCAGCACCAGCACCGGCGCCCGGTACCAGCACCAGCAACCTGTCTCCACCATGTGCACAGCCAGCTCACAGCACCAGCACCAGCGCCGGCCCGGCACCCAGCACCAGCATCGAAAGCGCGCACGGGCAACTCATTGCTTTTTGAAGTAAGGATCAGTCAGTGGGCTCAATCATCCCAAGTAACGGTTGAAAAAAGAAATACTGTATCCGAAATCACCAACTAGTAGATGCTTTCCAATTCTCAAATGAACTGAGGGAAACAAAGTACCCGATGGCTGGGCGATTCTTTTGGGGTCAGAAATCTGTGAAGTCAACCATAACCGCGCTCACGGAAGATCTCCCTGTTTTTTGTCCAAACATCCAAGCGCAAAGATCGCATTGATCATTGATCTGTGGCCTGCTCAACTGGGGCAATTATCAGATATTGCCCCTGCCCTGGAGGCTTTTTCCCTGGAAAATACTAACCCCATCTGTGGGGCTCCTTATTTTCTCCATGTTTGGCCCTTTGGGGAACCAACCATAGGCGTCCAAGAGGTGTGGCATGTTGGTGACTCGGTTCAAAGTTGTTGAACAAACATGCCAAGACTCGGAAAAGCCATGGAAACTTGTATTTCAATTTAAACTGCGATGTGATGGGTTTCTCACTTTGATGTGATGGCTTCTTTAGGGTCTCAGGTCGGCAAGGTCTCAGGTCGGCAAGTTGGCGGATTCTTGAGCTCACGGAGCTCTTTCTTCTTTATTAGTGCTCCCAGCAAAAATTGTACCAGCATAGACCCAAATAGCTAGGCAGAATCCCATGACCTGTTGACATGCGACTGGCTGGAACAAGAATGTACGCAGCCTGCACAGCCAGCTTACGGCGCCTCCACAGCACGTACAGTCAGCTGACACCAGCGCCTGTGCGCTTTGCCAGCTGACAACACCGGCAGCGGCGCCAGCACCCGACCAGCGCCGCCGCCCGTCTTAAACGCGCGCTCAGCCAGCTCACAGCACCAGCGCCCAAGACCACAACACCAGCACCAGCACCGACACCCTTTCGAAAGCGCGCGCAAGAACCCCATAGCTATCCCTATTTGGGGAATAACAACGTATGATCTTGCGGGTATAAGTTTATGCGGACAAAAGTATGCGCGCAAACGGCAAATCCCGTAAGTGTCATTGGCCCAAGGCCAAGCAGTATCCAGTGTAACTATTGACTTTGTAGCATGTTTGAAGCAACGATCTGCAGAACGGTAAGGCCGTATGATCTTGCGCGTGTAAGATTATGCGCGCAAAAGTATGCGCACAAACGGCAAAGTGCCCGTTGGCTTCACTCGCCCAAGGCCAAGCAGTATCCAGCACGACTATTCTTTGTGTAGCATGCTGAAACATGCTGAAACAATGGTCCGTTGAAAGCCTGACGCAGCTGTCGACCAAAACAGAACCTGAAGAGTGTAAATACCCACAGCGATAATAGACAAAGAACGCTCAAGCGGCAAGCGACAACACCGTATGATGTTGCGTGCAGAAGTTCATGCGGCCCATGACTGCTGGCACTTCATTGTCAGAAGCGGCGCTTGGCCGCACCAGCGCCGGCACCCGGCACCCAGGCACCCTGTCTCCACCACGTGCACAGCCAGCACAGCACCAGCACCGGCAACCTGTCTCGAAAGCGCGCGCAGGCAGCTCATTATTTCAATATATTCGAATGAGAACCCCATAGCTTCGCTATCTGTGAAAAAGATCCAAAATGACCCCCTCATATATGCAAGCTACACCACCAGCACCGGCGCCCAGCACCAGCACCAGCGCCGGCACCAGGCACACAACACCGAGTCTCCACCACGCGCACAGCCAGCGCCCAGCACCGGCGCCCAGTCTCCACCACGCACACTGCCAGCTCACAGCACCGGCACCGGCGCCCGCTGTCTCTACCACGCGCACTGCCAGCACCAACACCAGCAACCTGTCTCCACCACGTGCACAGCCAGCTCACAGCACCAGCACCAGCACAGGCACCCGGCACCAGCACAGCTCACACCACCAGCACCGGCAACCGGCACCCGGCACCAGCACCAGCAACCTGTCTCCACCACGTGCACCACCAGCTCACAGCACCAGCACCGGCACCGGCACCCAGCACCAACTCATTGTTATTTGAAGTAAGAACCCCATAGCTTCGCTATCTGGGGAAAAACAAGAGCCCTTAGTCAGTCCTTAGTCCTTCCAAATGAGGGGGGCAGAAATCTGGAACTCGCGGTTAATTAGTTTGAAGGTGGGGCCTGTGGCATATAACGGTGATTTCAGCCATGAAGTGCTCGTGGTTTGGGTGCAAATCCATGCAAATCTCCCACATGCTCGGCAAGAAACACCACAAAAGTCCACAAAGGTGGTCAGACGGTGGTCCCGGTACTGCAAGCTGTTTGTAAGTCCTGACAACGCGCTAACAATAACCCCCAAATGCGCTGTGTGGAGTTTTGCAAGCGAGTTTGCTTGCTTGGACTCCAGCGTGATGCGCCGACCCAATCCACTCGTCGGACGGCAACCTTGGCGCCGCGGCCGGGCGACTCCCGCCTCTTGTAGCTTCACATTCAGCACTTCCTGGCAGCAAAGCTGCGGCCCCTCCGGCACGCGGCTTCGAAAAGTGGCCAATTGGACGCTCCCAGGAGTACAGTACTCGGAGAAAAGAGTGTGTGTGTTTTTTTGAATCCGAGTATTACTCCTGAGATGATGTGTTTGGAGCTTCCTTCCAAGGAAATCACCATCCAAAACGTCAGAACCTGGGACGTTTCACCTATAACTTATACCTTATAGAACCTTTGAAAGGAACCTGAGATAGGCAATAAGGACCCCCGAAGGCTTGGATTGGCAAGCTAGGGCGTTCGGGAGTTCGAGCTGAAGGATGGCTTCGAGCTAGGCCTACTAAGGGTACAAGACCTCAACATCTGACAAGAACCATGCTACCACACAGTTTCTGGTTGATGTTCTTGACCAAACACTTCTCACCACTTTTTCAACCACCCAACCTGAACTCTTGACCACCTCTTCACACGCTGCCAACCTCGCATTCTCGCTCACCCAACCTCTTCCAACTCGTCCAGCTCCAGCTTTGGGGACACCGACACCGCGACCTTTGGGAGCAGTAGGACTTCGGCCAGTTGCGCGACCGAAGCCACTGAGACCATCTGCAACTTTCGCAGGGCGGCCTCTAACCTCAAACCAGTCCGAGTCGATCGGGCCGAAGGCTGGTGGGTCCAGCGGAGCAGCAAAAAAACGATGATTTTTTGTTTAAATCACCCGAAAAGACAAGACCGTTAGGTCTGCTGGCTACAGAAGAGGTATATTATATACATGACTTTTGGAACTTGCATGACTTTTGGGCTCTTGCAGGAAGAGACTACAGTGATGTGCCCCCACACTTGCGGTACTTAAAAGTATACTTAAGGAACTAGAAATAGTTATTTTCTACTTATAAACTACTTATGGCGGGCTTATTCTAAGTAACATACATCTTAGTTACCAAACTTATTAAGTTCTATAAGTTAAATAACTTCAAACTATGTGAAAAACCAGCATGTGTTTGCATTAAAACGTGTTTTGACAGGGAAACAAAACTACACAAGCACAATATAAAATTGTCTATATATGCAGCATGTTTAATGCAAAAATCTTTTTTCACGTTTCTGGAGAAACTCGTTGCACACTTTTTCTCTCAAGGCAAGCGCACCATGAGGTCGTTTTGCACAGTCCACCATGTGGGTTGCCGCAAGGTGGGCAGATCAATTGAAGAGAGCTTGATCGAATCCCTCTCTTTGCTGAATTGAAAAATGCGCTCAAGGTCTGCGCTGCCACTTGCTTCTCGCAAAGGTTCAAACACAAGGGTGATATCATCTTGGTATTCTGCCCACAAGATGACACAAGCTGCAAAAATGCGCTCAAGGTCTGCGCTGCCACTTGCTTCTCGCAAAGGTTCAAACACAAGGGTGATATCATCTTGGTATTCTGCCCACAAGATGACACAAGCTGCAAAAACGCACGCCATTCAAGGAAGAAAAGAAAACCACCTTGCCGGTTTCCAAGTTCATCGAACTGATGCATGCACCTTTTGACATTCGACAGTTTTGAAGTCCAGTTGTTTGGGCGACTTCCTGGGTTCCATAGATTGGGTCTCGAAGCCTGTTTGCCCAATTGCATTCTGCAAGTCGCTGAGCCGATTGCAAAAGCATTCTGCTAAGAATGCCTTGTGACATTGCGCCCGATTTTTCCTGCCACCTGCACTGGATGATGTCTGCTATATGTTTCGTTTGTACAATTGATGCTTTGCTTCCATCGGAAAGCAGTCGATGTAGACGCCGAACTCTTTGTATTGCTGTGGATGGTGTAGTCTATAATGGTGTTTTGGCCTGCGTGAAGAGGGATAAGCAATCTGAAAAGTCATGTGGTGTGCACGCTGAGCCTTGTCCAGCTGATCAAAATTTGTTCCCTCTTTTGAGCTCAGAAATGCACAGAGTAGCGCGGTATAGAGCTCTGAAGGATTCCAGCTCTGAAGCAACATGGTGATTGGCAAGTTTAGAGCCATAGTAATGCAGAAGGGGAACCAACACAGCTGTTTTGCTCGCTTCTCCTTTAAAGCAATCGCCTGCCCATAGACTCTCATGAAATAAAAATTTCCTGGCCGAAACTGAACAATAGTTGGTGTCAGCACACTCCCATTTCACCTCTACCACACTTTGCCGTAACAAATCCAAAGACATGCCGGTGCCACAAATGCCTTTTGCCCAGTAATTATGACAACTGTCCAGCATCACATGCTGGACCGACAGCATGTCTCTTGCAGGTGTGCTTGCCAGCAATGACTTTGCGTTGAGAGCGAATTCAAAGTTCTTTTCCAAATCTTTTCTGTACTGCTTGGACTTCCCAGCTGTGTCTTCCAGATATGAATCGTAGAGGGAATGCAGTTCACAAGCCTGAATATGTATAAACGCATCAACGTCACCAGAGGTGATATCATGAAAATAATCATCAGCCGCCGGCGCTTCGCAGACTTGGTCAACTATGTTTTGGCAGAGTAAGCATGGTTTTCTGGCGGCTGCTCCTTTGCTGGAAAAGATCAAGCGCAGTGAATCATAGTCACCGCAGTAGGCTTTGATTCTGAAACGTAAGTTGAGATCACCGCATTGGATACCCTCTTCCAGCCTGTGAGAATGCAAATGTTGCAAGATCATAGCGCATACAGCAGAGCAGCCATGCATGCCAAGGGCCACCAAGCATCTGGCCGCTGCAGTTCACCCAGTTGCTGCACACTGAAATAAAACAATGTGACTTTCTTGCTCTGGGAGGTAGCCAAAACGTTGCCCCCTGTGGTCTCATCTGCGCTGAGCAGCACATCCAAGGTGTCATTTTGTACCGCCTGGAATCTCTGCTTCAGGTCAGGTGCCGCGTTGCAAAGATAACTCAGAAGAGGTTCAAGCTTGGCAGAAAAAACATCACTGGTGATCCCTCCAAAGCCTCCAACTCCAATTTCTCAACGCATTGTAAAGCAGGCTCGAACACTTTTTTGGCTTTTCTTTTGAAAGCACCACTTTGTTGATGTTTCTCAGTTGCACCGCCCAAAATCTGCAAGACCTCCCACAATTTGTTCTGTGGTAGTTTCGCCAAAAGAATATCCAGCTTTGCTCTTTTGAGGGCTTGTTCCATCCATGGCGTGCGGGCGTCAAGCCTGCTTATGGAAAGTTCACACTTGCAGGTAGCTGCTGTGTTATGACATGTGTGTGTGCTTGTGACATCGCCAACCTCTTAGAACACAATTAAGTCACTAGCAAATAACTATCGGGTTCGGAAACCAATTGGTTTTGCAGCCTTGGACCTGTGGTTTAAGATTACTTACTTGGACAATCCTGCGCGCATTGAGCCAACAAGGCGGGCCACCGCCGCAGGACCACAGGACAAGCACATGTTCAACACTGCAACCAGCAAAGCGGACCACCGCCACTATTTGGACAAGCACAAATCAAGAACCGGCGGGCTGGCATTTTTCCAAAAAGACAATGGTGATTGCGAGCAACATCAAGCCTAGAAGGCCAGATACGGATAGAGCCACTCGATGACACGCAGCATACTGCCAATCAGCACCTTGCTCTCCTCACAGAGGTGCTCCCGGTACAAGAGCCCCTCCACGAATGAATGAACAATGCCAAGCTCTCTGGACAGCTGCTCCCTTCTACTCTTGGACAAAGTCTTGAAGTTGTTGAAGTCCGGCTCCACAACAGTCTTGAAACATCCAAGTGATTCAGTTGTGACTGACTCGTCAAGTAGGGTATCCCGAGCGCGAGTAAGTGCCAGACACAGTTCTTCGACACAAACCAAGTCCTTGCACCTGCCGCAGATCTCGAGAACTGATCTGCAAAATTCCCGGGCGCATTCCCTGATGTCCGCCTCGTCTGAACTGACACCAAGCTGCTCGGCTGCCAGCAAAAGCCACAGCTGCTTGAATCCCATCTTGTCAAGACAAATCAACTTTAAGTTGAGCCACAGCTATACAGAAGGTTATTTTTACACAAATACAAAACATCAAATGAAACATGAACGACTCCTGATCAAACATGAAAGGCTCCTGAAGTGCAGTATCTTTTTCTGCAGGCTCCTGAGGGTTCACAGGTGAACGATATGGAGAAGGCTGTGTACATTTACACAGGCAATGCACAAATCGAACGCATGAATTTCAATTGCGCTACCGCTACCGAATTATTGTTTGCCGGTATTTCTTCAGCTCTTTGGGATAGTCTTCAGCTCCTTGGCAAAGGCTGTGCAATAGGACCTACAGTCCTTCAATTTCGCAGACAACTCCTTGTCATCAGAGTAGCCCACATCCTGCAAACTGCATGTTCCTCCTTTTCCAACCTTCGTAAGCACTTCCTTTGTTTGATCCCTCCAAGTGATCAAGGTCGTGAGGCCTTCCGCAAAGTTCATTCGATTGGTCGCATCCATCAGATCCAAATTCACCTTGGCACATTTTGCCTCCAAGTTCTTCATTCTAGTAATGATCGGCTCCAGCAACAACAAGGCTTTGTTCGAAATGGACAAGACCTTCTTGTGATCCTTTGCGGCCTGCTTGGCCTGCTCCCTTTCAAGCTTCATCTGTTCACGCTTGTTCTCCTTCTCCAACTTGCGATTGTTGAAGATGACCTGAGGAAAGTAGAGGTGCAAATGAGACCAGAGTCTATACGTTAAACAAATAGTACCTGCAGGATTGTTATGGGACATACATGGCTTTGCTGTTTTGTGATTTTTTTGAGTTGAGCAAAGTTGCCGTTTGGATCTCGTCTTCCGAGTCGGTGCACAAGTCCACAAAGTCTTCCAAAGACTTCTTCAACTTCTTTTGTTCTTCACTCAAAGTTGGCACTGGTTCGGGATTTTCATTCTCCTTGTTCTCGTTCCGCTTTGTTTTCGGCTTGGGAAGGGCCAACTCTGGATCCTTTCTCTTCTTCACATTTCTCTCACACTCCACCAAAGTCCGCTCCACTCGCTTCTTTTTTTCTGCTACCGATGTATGCTTGATGGGAACCAAGTAGGTTGTGCCAAGGAACTCATGCTCCTCCCTGGGGGCCGATTCCTCGATCTTGTCCGTATCATAGCCAGGGTTTGCCCAGTAACTCAATGGCTGGTACCCACCTCCAACTTCAGTGGTGTCCTCCGTGCTTGAGATTTCCACAAAGGATTCCTTCAAGATCGCTCTCACTGATCCATATCGAAGTGGCCCATCAGAAGCTGCCTTGGCTGCAGAACATTTGCGATAAAAATCCTGCTGCTGATCTGCGGTCAGCTGATGCCATTCTTCAGGAAGAGTTGTTCCCAAATAACGGTACAACATTGTAGTCACTGCGTGGCAGTTTCGGCACATTGCCTTGACATTGCTGCCAACTTTCTTCGGGGCGGCCATGTTCTCAATGGTCACTTCAATCTTGCATTTGCAACACAAAATGACATCGTCTTCAAGAGCTTCAGGTGCCGTCGGTGAGCTTAGCAGCCTCGATGGGTGCAACCGATGCCTCTGGCATTTCCACCACCTGGGTTGTCGGCTCCTGGCTACTTTCTGGCTGCCTACAGCCAGCCCACTGAGACTCAGAAACGATCTCCTGGGTGTCGGGGATCGCGATTGTAGGAGCATCAGCCATGCTATGAAACCAAGGGAACCCAGGCCTCAACTACCGTAT